TCAGGACGGATCCCTCCACTTTCCCAGCATGATGTCCTTCTCCAGAGACTGGTCTCCCCTGACAACAGGTCCAAAGTACTCCACACGCAGTCTCGCCATCCCTGCCTACAAGGGACTCCGTGCTGTAATTCGTCACCTAGTCCACAATACACTGTTGTGTGGTTTTGTTCTTTTACAAAAAGCCCAAGAGGGAGACCAGCTCAGAGGAGCTGTAGAAGCGCGGCGGGTGGGGTGGGGTGGGGTGCTGCCTCTAAAGACGCTGCAGCCTGGTGCAGCGGAAACCGAAGGAGTGGCCGGGAGAGGCCAGGGCAAGAAGTCCACCTGCCTTCCACGTGGACTGCTACATCTCCCAGAAGTTTCATGCTGACCCTGCAGAACCTGCCCAAGGCCAGAGGGTAGGGACTGCTCCTCCAGCCCCCAGCACCGCCCCCCACTGTCCTGTGAAGATTGCCCCTGAACTAGGAACAATAAAGCACCCGTGTTTAACCTACTGGAAAATAATAACACAGTGTTTGGACAAATACTGCCTCTTATGCACACATGAACAAGATGGCTGAGGGTCAGAGGGAAGCTTGCAGCACCTTGTGCTGTGCAGGTGACACAACAACGCTGGCCGGAATCAAAGATGCGAAGCGCTTACTGGTGAAGACCAAACGCTACAGCGCTCAGTTGTGTAAAGAAAACAAAAGCCTCGACAGTGGGTCAGTAAATAACATCGTGCTGACTGGAGGAAAGACTGAAATGCCGAGGACTTCGTTTCACTTGGGCCCACAAACAATGCTCGTGGAGACACAGTCAGGAAGGAGCGGCATCCTGCTGTTGTCTGGTGCCATGACGAGGTTCTGACCCATGCCATCTTCACAATTGCCCCCAGGCCTGGGCTCATTGTGACAACCCACCTGTCCATCCATCTCACTGAGGACCATCCTCCTTCGCAGTGCCCCTCCACTCGACCACTCACGGTGTCCTTCTCCAGGGACTGGTCTCTCCCGACAATATGTCCAAAGTACGTGAGATGAAGGCTTGCCATCCTTGCCTCTAAGGAGCATTCTGGCCTTACTTCTTTCAGTTCAGATCGGTTTTTCCATGATACTTTCGATATTCTTCTCCAGCATCATCATTCAAATACATCCATTCTTCTGGGGTCTTCTGTATTCAAGCTCCAACTTTCACAGACATACGAAGCCGTGAAAATCCCATGGCTTGGGTCAGCACACTTTAGTCCTCAAAGCAACATCCTTGCTCTTCAGCACTCTAAAGAGGTCTTGTGCAGCAGACTCACCTGATGTACGTCCTTGGATCTCTTCCATGAGCATGGATTGTGGATCTTAGCAAGAGCAAATCCTTGACAACGTACCATTTCCCCGTTTATCATGATGCTACCCGTTGGTCGGGTTGTGAGGATGTTGGTCTTCTTTTCCATTCAGCCGTAATCCATATTGAAGGCTGCAATCCTGGATCTTCATTAGCAAGTGCCTCTGGTCTCTCTTGCTTTCAGCAAGCAGCATGCTACAGTGGCCAAATTTACTGCAAAAGACCTCTTAAACTGTTAAGGTGTGTGTATTAGTCTAGGTACTTTAGAGAAACAAATCCACAGCAACTCATGTATAAGAGAGTTTTATGTAAAGAAAGTGTGCATCACGAAACATCCCAACCCAATGCTGCCCAAACCCACAAGTCCAACATTAACCCATTAACCCAACACCAGTCCACAAAGTCCTCCACCTCACAAAACAGAGGCAATGACGCCGACTGCAGGAGGAAAGCTGAGTCAGTAAACGAATAAGCATCTCAGCACTGGCAGGGGTCTCCACATGGCTTCTCCAGCACCCAGGGCTGCACCGGGATAGGAGGTCGATGTGGCTCCTCCTTGGGGATGTCTTGTAGGAAGTCAATCTTGCAAGCTGAAGCAGGGAACTGCTAAGGCAGCTGCACCCTGGTGCGACCATCACAAAGCAGGAGACCCGAGAGCTAGAAAGGCGAGGCTCACCACCCATTTATCCCTCCGCCTTTCAATTAGCCCCACATGTGATTATCGGCCAGGTTGGCACAATTAACTAACTCAGTGTATTAACTCCCAATTAATAAAAATTTTTAAAAGGACAGAGTAACCCCCCCAAAAAAGTATGAAAATAAACTATGATTTTCTAGAATGGAAAAAACCCGAAAAAATGTTAAGTGCATCTGACCCAACCCAAGGTGTTTTCAATGGTCTCACATGCATGTGTACGTGGGACAGTGAATAGAGAAGATTGGAGAAGAATCGGTGTCTTTGAATTATGGTGCTGGCAAAGGAAACCAAATATACCACGGACTGCCAGAACAACAAATCATCAGTCTTGGAAGAAGTACAACAAGAATTCTCCCTAGAAGCAACGATGGCAAGACTTCATTTGACCTACTGTGGACTGTTACCAGAAGAGACCAGTCCCTGGAGAAGGACATCCCGCTTGGTAAAGTGGAGGGGCAGCGGAAAGGAGGGAGGTCCTCCATGAGATGGATCAACCCGTGGGCGGCCACAGGGGTCTAGGCCTAGGGACAATGGTGAGGACGGTGCAGAACAGGCCGTGTTTCATTCTGTTGTGCACACGGTCACTATGAGTCGGAACCAACACAACAGCCCCTCACAGCAACAAGGACATGGCGTTGACCATAAGTGCTTTTCCTGAGTGTCCCTATGAACCACGCAGGGGCCCTAGTGTTTGGTCAGGTGCCGCTGAGATGCTTTTGACAGAGTAGACCTGCTCCGATGATGTTCTGAATGGTCATCTTTCTGAGAGCAAGAGCCCAGGTCTTTCCTTCCCGGGAGCGGCGGGGCGGGTTTGAGCCGCCCACCTCGCGCTCCAGTTTGTAGTCAAGCACTTAAATCATTGCACCACGAGGGCCCCTTTCCACGAGTTTGCACCCTGACATTTAAGAAGAGCTGAAGTTGCTCTATTGACCAAGCACCGATGAGCTGCCAGACCCTATCTTTATTTATTTGTTTGTTTGTTTATTATTAAATCATTTTAATGGGGGCTCGTACAACTCTTATCACAATCCATACATGAACTTAATGGCCTAACCAGGATTTGCTGATTCTTTTTCTTCTTTAACCCTTTACTGTGAAGTGGGTGAAGGGTTACAGTGCAGATCATCAGCTTTCCATTCAACCATTCATACACTTGTTGTTTCATTGCTCATGGAAACATCCTCCCACCCCCTTCCTGGGTTTCCAGCGTCCATGCCTCCGAACTCTTATGAACTGCGACTGGCTGGTTATTGTGCAGCGGTTCTCAACCTGGCGGTCGAACGACCCTTTCACGGGGGTCTCCCGATTCATCACAGTAGCAAAATGACAGTGATGAAGTAGCAACGAAAATCGTGTGATGGTGGGGGGTCACCACCCCATGAGGAGCTGTGAAAGGGTCGCGGCGTGAGGAAGGCTGAGAACCGCTGCAGACTCCACAGTGGGTGGACTTCACTAGTGTCATTGTCCCGTCAATTGGCTGAAAACTGAGCTGCAGGGGCTTCATCATCCTGGGTCCCACCAGTCTCTAGCCAAGCGTGGCCTCCTTTCTGATTCTGCGTTTTCTTCTGAAGTTTCCTCCCATTCTCTTCCAGAACCACCTTGGCATAAGCTGCTTTCATCCTAGCCTCAGCCCTGCGGGGTATGCATGCGATAGCGTTCTCACTATGTAGGTGAGGAGGATGCGTCCCCGAGACATGAAGAAACGTGACCAGAGGCCCGCAGAAACGCTGAATTTCACACCGTTTTCTCCCCCCTCACCGTGCAGGCTTCCAGGACGTCACGGTCATGGCGGCTCTTGGTTTCGGCTTCCTCAACTCGTCGCTGCGGAGACATGGCTGGAGCAGCGTGGCCTTCACCCTCTTCCTGCTGGCCCTCGGGGTGCAATGGGCAATTCTCGTGGATGGCTTCCTGAGCCACTTCTTCCGGGAGCATGTGGCCCTCACCCTGTCCAGGTAACCAGCTGGCAGCCCTTGGGCCTGAGGGTGTGAGGCCTGGAGGGTGGCGTCTAGGAGAATTGGGGCATCTCCCTCTCCTTCCAGCGTCGATGCCATCCGTGATTTGGGATCTACTTATACTGGAAAAGTGATCTGGTGTTTATCTGAAATTCATATTCTGGCTGGGCATCCTGTATTTTATCAGGAACCCCCTTTTCTGCGACCTCACAAGAGGCCAGGCCTCCCTGGCTCGTTCCTTTCATCCTTACTGATTATGATTTTGTAAAGTTACACAACTACTACAGGCTCATAGGAAAATTAAAGGATCTGGAGATAAAAGGGGCAGGCAGACGGACCAGTGAATACGGAATTTCATATCACTGGAACCGGAGGACGTGGGGAGGGCAGGGTGCTGTTGTCCTGGGGAAATGAACAGGAGCGCCACAAAACAAGAGGTGTCTAATGGTGGGCTGGAAAACTAATTTGCTTGGTGAAATTTCACCTAAACCAAACACACACGCACCTAGCTAGCAAAAAAAAAAATTGCTTTTTTTTTTTTTTTGCTTGTATCCAACTCTGGACCTGCCCCACCCACTGCCACCAAGCCAACTCTGACTGACTTGTC